CTTCCCCTTGTTGAACTTCATGAGGTTCCTACCTTTCTCCAGCAAGCTGAGGCTGGCAGCACAATCCCTGGCATATCAGCCACTCTTCCCAGTTTTGAGTCATCAGCAAACTTGCTGGGGGTACACTCTGTGCCATCATCCAGATCATGAATCAAGACATTAAACAGGACTGGACCTAGAATTGACCTTTGTGCTACACAGGTGGTTACAGCTCCAACTACAGTTTGTCTGATGATCACCACCCTCTGGGCTCAGTCATTCAGCTAGTTTTCAATCCACCTCACTGTCTGCTCATCCAGCTCATACTTTAACAGATTCTCTATGAGGATCTTACAAGAGGCAGTGTCAAAAGCCTTACAGAAGTCCAGGTAGACGATATCCACTGCTTTCCCCACATCTACCAGACCAGTCACTTCATCACAGAAGTTTTTCAGGTTAGTCAAGCATGACTCAGCCTTGGTGAATCCATGCTGTCTACTTCTGATGATCTTCTTGTCTTTCACGTACCTGGAAATGGTTTCCAGGATTAGCTGCTCCATCTCCTTCCCAGGGGTCAAAGTGAAGCTGACCAGTCTGTAGTTCCCTGGGTCCTCCTCCTTGCCCTTCTTGAAGAATGGAGTGACATTTGCTTTCCTCCAGTCTTCGGGAGCTTCTCCCAATTGCCACGATCAAAGATTAACAGGAGTGGCCTCGCCGTGACATCTGCCAGCTCCCTCTGCTCTCCTGGGTGCATCTCAACAGGGCCCAGGGACTTAAGCAAGTCTAGTGTTCTTAAGTATTCCCTGACCTGATCCTCTTCCACTGGGTACGTTCTCCTTGCTCCAGACTTGGCCTCTGGTCTTTAGGACCTGGGATTCCTGAAGGCTGGTCTTGCTAGTAAAGACTGAGGCAAAGAAAGCATTCAGTACCTCAGCCTTTTCCACGTCCTGCGTAACCAGGTCCCCCATCTCATTCAGCAGCGAGTCCGCGTTTTCCCTAGCCTTCCTTTTGTCACCTATATACTTAGAGAAGCCCTTCTGATCTTTGACATCCCTTGGCAGATTCAAGTTGGGCTTTAACTTTCCCAACCTCATCTCTGCATACAGAGACACTGTCTCTATATTTCTCCTAGGTTACCTGCCCTTGCTTCTGCCCTCCATATGCTTCCCTGAGTTTGGCCAACAGCTCCTTGGCCACACAGGCCTCCTGACATTTTTGCCTGACTTCCTATTTGTCAGGATGGACCACTCTCAAGCTTGGAGGAGGTGATCCTTGAATATATTAACCATTTTTTAAGGATCCGTCTTTCCTGCAGAGCCTTATCCCATATAACTCTTCCAAGCAGATCTTTGAAGAGGCTGAAGTCTGCTCTGCTGCAGTCCATGGTTGTGAGCTTGCTTTTTACTCTCCTCCCTCCCCTCAGAATCCTGAACTCAACCATCTCATGGTCACTGCAACTAAGGCCTCCGTCGACCTTCACATCCCCAATGAGCCCCTCATCGCTGGTGAGTATGAGGTCCAACAGAGTAACTCTCCTTGTTGGGTCCTCTATCTGCCATTTCAATTATTCCTAAATGTGAACTACATTCAAAAAATTCCACTTTTTATATTCAGAGCAGAAGAATGAGAAACAAATATACCAAAGCCAGAGTTGCAGTCAAGAACCTCATCCTTTACAGAGCCCAGAGTCTCACAGCAGAATTCTGAAGTGCATCCCTCAGAATACACAAAGACTAGAAAAGGTGAGGTTGCACTGGACATCCAAACCAGTGTGAATATAAGCGGTGAACAGACCAGTGAGAAATATCAGCCTGCCTGCAAGCGTGAAATGTCCCAGAAGCAGGAAGTTTTGCTCCAAAAGCAGCCTGACGATTGACACTAATCGAAACATAAAACCATTACTTTCCAATCTGGTTGCCAAACAGCACTCATCAAACTAAATGTGCTCCACCACTCCACAGCAATTTCTGCGTTAGGTCTAGAACTCAGTTTCCATGGGCGGCACAGCACACCTGAAGGCACATGATACCGTCAGAACTCTAGAATAGCAGTTTTCAAAAACCTCTACCGAGAGCAGACTGACAATACGATTTTGAAATTTTACATGGGATAGACTTGTATGCATATGCAATAACACAAATATTAACCTCTTGGGATCCCAGCTTAGGAAGACAGCAAAAGTAAACTGGTTTTACCACAGTTCCCCTCAAAGCAAGTTTAAAATACCGCAGCACTTACTTGCTGGAAAGTAAGTCTGAAAGTAGGGTCTAAAATCAGCAAAAGCTTCAGAAGAACCAAGAAGTTCATTTAAGGCTATATTATAAAAAGGTTTGTAAGGACAACCAGAAAGACATCCTTTCCATAATGCAAAAGTCTATTTATGCATTCATTTGGAGTCATTTCAGTCAGATTGCCTTTAGGATGGATTTGGAGGCTCTTTAATTTAATTTTAGGAAAGATCCTGCAAGAAATAAAAGCTACTGTTGCTCACCAACACAATTCTATAAAAGGACAGACAGACATTCAGAATGACTTTGTGGAGTAGGGATAACTGAATAAATTAAAGTTGTTCTTGACTCTGCTTGAGGAAATAAAATCAGGAAGGGGGCAAGAAAAGTTCAACTTCACTATGCTAAAAAGCTTCACTATGCCGAGTTTGTCTCCTTCCAGCTGCTACTTCTGCTGGAAGGCTTCTAGAAAAACTCAGGTGGGTTTCAGGGAGCAGCTTCTCACTGCTCCATGAAGGGACAACCAAGGGGATCCTGAATCTAATGGGAATTCTTTTGTGATTTTTCAATCCATCAGCTGTAGTCACCTTTTCTCCATGCTACAAAACAGGGCTACTTTCTGAAAATGTGAATTTGTAGAAATTCACATTATCTGCAAATGACTTTGGTGCAAAGTCCTGATATCTGCGTGACATGTCTTCTATAACTCATTGTCTCCATACATGCCATCTGATTTCCAAAGGAGAGCACTTACCTTTCAATAATTGCTCTCCGCATAGCTTCTTGGCTATATGGACACTTCCCCACTATAATTGCTGACAGATACACCGGATGCTGCAGGAAATGCATCAGAAGAGCTCCTTGACACCCTAACACATTCCAGCGAGCCAATTTATCACTGCAGGACATAGAGCATGTTCTGTCCCCACGACCTGGCTTCACTCGTAATAATCCCACACAGTGATACCCTAGCCCAGGTATTCGGGCATCACTCAGCCCTCCAGGTACACATTTTGCTCCAGTTCTATAAACATCTACTACCTTCGGTCTCCCTAAGCCAGTCTCTTTATTAGCTGTTCGCATTTCTCCAGAACATTCACAACTCTTTGGATTTGCGTCATCTTGTTTCACAGATACTTGCTGAACAGCCAGGTCTTCGGTGATTACAGAAAAACAGCCATCATCATCAGTTTTCATTCTCTTGATTATATGATTACTTGCCATTTTCTCAGATTTCCTTTTATCTTCTAGACCCAAATGATCATGGTTACTTTTACACTCTGCTGATTGTCCAGCTGCATCATCTCCAGTCACTGGCTTGGAAAGGTGGTTCTCTGGTTCACTAATAGGTATAATAGAAGCATCTCCACCTACAACAAAAAAAGTAACATAAAAATTGGCCAAAAGTGCATCTCTCATGACTGGAACAGATCACACGGCTACTACTAGCTTTCACAGATTTGCACTCAGAAAAATTTAACTACAAGAACTTGCTTTTCAAACAACATGGCCCTGGACAATGATGAAACAGACTTCACTGAAATTTGAGCTAATATATATGTCATTTCAAGATTTGCATTCTACCCAAGAAATAATCAAAAAAGCAAAATTGAGAACAAAAATTATCTACTGACAAGCTGGTAGACCAAGAGGTCGCATTCCTACATTTTGCCAATAGATCCTCATGTTTGTAGTGCTGTTTAAAAAAAACCAAAAAAAACCCAAAAAACAAACAAAAAAAAAACCCAAACACACACACACAAAGAGCTTTTACCATGACAAAATAAAAAATTGCATTCCATTCCATAAGAAGCTTGGAATTAGGGGGGTGGTGGTGGTTTGCAGGTGGGGCTTTTGGGGGAGTTTGGTTTTGGTTTGTTGGGCTTTTTTTCCTGTTTTGTTTTGGTTGCTTGTTTTTTGGTTTTGTTTGGTGGTTGAGGGTTTTTTGTGTAATTGTTTTTTGCTGTTTGGTTGGGTTTGGGGTTTTTTGGGGGAGTGTGGTTTGTTGGGGGTTTTTTGGGTGGTGGTTGTTTTTTTTTTTTCTTTTTAAGGAACTGTGGCAAATGTCAATGATTTTTATTAACATTTGAATCCAAGGAAACATTTAAAGCAAAGCAACCAGGAAATATGACAGGGCCTCTGACAAGTATGTTAGTTTCTGGAAAAGAAAATAGTAGCCATTATTGTTTAAAGAGAAAGTGAAGCATTCCACTACATAATGAGCAGTCTATCAGATTTACTGAATTCTCACGAATCACATCCAGTGAGATAAAATGTCAAATGTGGAGGACCAGTCAAGTACATCTTAGGGCACATGCTGACAACATGAGTTGCGGCCTCGCTCTCACTCCAGATCAAAGAGAGACCAAAGAAAGGCAAGGGCCAGAAAAGATTCCACAAGTGGGAACCATGAAATTGGTTCACTCCAGCATACTCACATGGGGTATGACTGGAGAAGAAAACAAATACGATATTTGGTTTGAGTTTCCATTTCCCAGTTTCAGTTCCTGGAATAAAGATACTGCATTGCTGATGAGAAGCTGCCAACCACATCTGATGGAGAAGATACCTGTTAGGCAGAAAGTTTTCATGAAACATTTACTTCATTTTTGCTGCACGGGAAAACAACAAAAATTAGATGCCCACCAGTGCCTGTTCTTTCCTGATGAAGTCTATGAGGAGCCAATCAGTCATGCTTCTACAGATAGATAGCATCCAACATACTCCATAAACACATTATTGGAACCTTAATAGCAGACCTCAAAGGGTTGGATTCAATGGAGCTAACAATCTCCTCAAATCGTATATCTAACATCCTCTCCTCCCACTTTGTATTTTTACCAACACTGCAACTCAGCCAATTCTCTGAGAGCCAATTTAGCGGCATCAAACTGCAAGAAATGTATTTGTTTCTGTAGCATAACTATTCTCCTGGTTCAGTTCCTTGAACCAGCTTATCCCACGTGAACAAGAGGATTGGTACTTGTAGGTATCTAAGATACTATGACTGAGAGAGCTGGGATTATTCAGCCTGCAGAAAAGGCGGCTCCAAGGAGATCTAATTGCGGCTTACCAGTACCTGAAGGGGACCTACAGCAAAGATGGTCAGGGACTGTTTATCAGGGAGTGTAGTGACAGGACAAGGGGTAATGGGTTTAAGCTGAAGGAGGGTCGATTTAGATTAGATGTTAGAAAGAAATTCTTTACTGTTAGAGTGGTGAGGTACTGGAACAGGTTGCCCAAAGAGGCTGTGGATGCCCCATCCCTGGAGGTGTTTAAGATCAGGTTGGATGAGGCTTTGGGCAACGCGGTCTAGTGGGGGGTGTCCCTGCCCACAGCAGGGGGGTTGGAACTAGATGATCTTTGAGGTCCCTTCCAACCCAAACCGTTCTATGATTCTATGAAACAGCAAAATGCTACCCTTGCCAGCTAATCATCAGACCGGCACTGACATCACGTGAAATCAGATCCTACTGCTTTGTACAGAGACTCTACAAGAATAAGAAACAAGCTTTTGTGAAAGGGCCTTAACACCACCTAGAAGTGCAAAAATTAGGTTAAACTCCTGCTAAGAAAGGGGAAAAAAGTGTTGCCTACACAGAATACTGTCTTTTTCACTACATTCTCATCACTGAAGCTGCAAAATCTGACTATTTCAGCCATAGGTCAAAATCATTCGTATCACAACAGCCTCAAGTGGCACTGAATAACAGCACATGAACTTCATGCCTCACCTCTGGAAGCTCCTCTTGGCCACAATTTCAGCATGACTGTCATTCAGAATGTCTCCTAAAGCAACAACCAAATAAGAACAATACGCATCATTACTGAAAAGGAGAAGAACAAAGCAAAATTTGACAGATGACAGTTCTCTAGATTCGTTAGCGTTTGAAGGTTTAACAATCACATTAAGTTATTCCAAGATATTTAAACTTCCAGTCACTACAAAAGGATGTCAAAAGCCTACACAAATGAAGGATTAAAGTCTTTACTCCACAGCAAGCCACAGACTTGTTTAAATATGAAATCTTCTCTCTTCTGATATCTGAAATCCTTTGAGTTGAATAAACATTGGCTTCCTTCTAAACTCTCCTGATGTTTGTTCTTAGTAGTAAATCTTGATATTCCCAGTTTAACATCCATAAAATTTCAAGTGTTCGTTAAACTTTTGGTTGAAGTTTCTTCTTGCACGATGTCCTACAGTTTAATTACTTTTCTTGTAAATAATTCTGGTATTTGCCAGGTTTACACATCTCATCTTCAAACATCCTGCAGCATCTGCCTATTGCAGTATTTAAAGGAACAGAATCTGTAGATCAGCTTTTATTTCAGGAATAAAAGACCAGGTGATAAAAGTCCTCTTTAACCGTTCTAGAAGTTTAAAAGCTCTCTAATAGATAATCATTAACATGGCCTACCAATCAAGTTAATTTACAAATAAATGAATGTTATCATAAAAGGAAAATATTTTCTAAACTTAAGGTCACTGAAGACAAACAACAGAGAGAGGAACTAGCTTTACTTTTTTCTAGTCAAATTTCTACTTTGACTCTTAATAGCTAGATTGTAAGTAGTTCAACAGTTTAATCGCAATTTTCCTAAATTGATCAGAAAAGCATCTGTACTTCTAAGATGGCTAAGTCACAAGAAACATTGACAAAAATCTAAGATACAGAATTCAGTTTCTTCTCTTTTGCTCCACCAATTCATTTCAATATGAATGTTATACAGAACACAAAACAGCCTAAAACTGATGCATGCAAAACCATTTCTCTTATCTCGCTCTCCTCCTCGTCTGAAGTCTAAAGAAAGTAGAAAGCCCTGTACCTACATATTCAGAAACACTTCCTCCTTAATCACTTTTCAGCACTAATTACTATGGCTTCTCCCCTTTCTGAGGAGAGGAGACAGATACATTCTGAATTAAAAAAACAGACATGCAGAGCAAGGAAAGTCCTACAATAAATGGTAAGAAACAGTAGCTGTGGGAAGTCACGTATCTATCCCACACATTTATTGTACAAATACATATTTAGCTGCAGAATATACAGCAAGGGAGAAAAAGCCTGTTATGATAGCTTCTATGACACCAGGAAGAAAGAAGGTAGCGTAGGTAGTCTCTTCTTGGATTTTACACCATACTTACCAGTTTTTCTCATTTTGTTTTGGCCAATACATTTTGTTCCAGTTCCCATAGCAACAACTTCCTTCATTACTGAAAGAAAAGGCAACATTAACTGAACAAACTATCACCAGAAGCATTGCTATCATACAGTCATTCTGGTAAGATGACAAACAAAACATTGCGTAGAAGGACAGGTACAGGGAGGCAGGCCACGCGACAATGCAGGAGGTTTCGTTTCAGCTGGAGAACTGAATATAGTAGGCAGAAGCACCAGTGCTAGGAAAAGTTTATGATCCCATAGCAGGAGTGCTAACACAGGCTTGATATGTGAGGCAACACACAGCAGACACTGGCACAGGATTCCTCGAACATGTGAGAAAGAATCATGGGATACAATCTCCATGACAACATGGAAGTGCCAGTAAGGGAAATTAAGATGATGGTGAACTAACACAAACACACAATGTAATAACACAGTCTGTTAAAGGAGAGCAAACTGAGACCTTTCTAGGATTCTTTCACATAACAGCTGAACACACTTTTGCAAGGGTTTACGTTAGAAATTCAGGTCCTGCCTAGATTTTCGCCACTTACTGAACAGCCAAATGCAGGCTTTCATCTTTTTAGTTACAGTCTGGGAAGAACAGTATTTCACTATAACCATCTCTTTCCAGACAAAAGCTGTAAAAGCTTTTACAACCACAAAAAGAATTTGGGTGAAGACAGAAACAGGACAGGAAGGGGTGTTTTGTTTGGTTTTTTTTAAAGGTACCTTAAAAAAAAAAAAAGAAAGAAAGAAAGTAACAAAGCAGCAAAGACTGCCATCTCCTCTTCCCCTCTCCCCCTCCCAATCCCCACAACTCATTCTTACCCTGCAGATTCCCTGGACTATCAAGAACCTCTCTTTGGGTTGCAGACTCCACTTTGACAACAGCTGCCAGCGAAGTCCATTCCCTGTTTGGATCTGGTTTCCCCTGCTTAGGGAGTCTGGTCCTATAATGCAGGTAACATAGCTCAGCAATTTCATCAGCTGACCACATGGCTCCTGGTGCAAGTGCAGGTTCTAAATAGAATTGGATTCCATCACAACACTGATTGACAAACCCCATCTCTTCACACCCTACCACCCTGTTCTGCATTACATCTTCCTGTACCAGATTCCAATATCCAAAGCTTAGCTGCATCACCCCTTTTACGATTATTTATAAGAAACATATCATATCAAATAAAAACCCCTTTTTTTCCAAAGCGCTAGAAATAAAAAACAATGCTAAAACCCTTATAGTCCAGCAGCAGGTGAGAATGCAGGGTTCCCAAGGTTCCCACTATGCAGCAGTCAGTGTTCACAGCACCGTCCCCGTACAGCCCCTACATCACATCTGAGACGCCTGGCGCCACCACACTCATTCCGAGGCCTCCGGGCCTCCACCTTGCCCCAGCGACGGGGGAGCGCAGAGCCCCACAGCCAGGGCAGCCAGCGCCCCGAGCGAGCTGGTGTAGCGCTCGAGTGTTCATCACGCCGCCCTCGGCGCAGGCCCCTACCCTCCGGGTAAACGGCGCCACC